CACTGAGCCCGATATGGCATGTATTAAGTATTTTCAACGTTTGTTATGTTTGAATGTTCTACTTTTGATTTGATTAATGTTTTGTATCACAGGTTCACAATGGTAACCGCAATGGCTTCCGATTGCTGTTGCCACAACGAGATCAAGAAGTAAACAACACCCCCGTTCCAAGGAATACCAGCTGTTACATGTTAGATTGGGATTCAGTCACTAGAATAAGGTAAACGAGTTTGTTCAAATTTTGGTTAATTCAAATTTTAGCAATTATTTTCAGATGATAAAACATTTTTTACAGACAACCTTATAAATTTTGTCTAAACTATAAACTAGACACCGGCTTGTTAATTATAAAATAGCAGCTTACTATATTACTTACAAAATTGACACTCATTTAGTTGAGGTCAAATTTGCTATCATGGTCATACATAACTTACGGAAACAAAAGACTAATGATATGCAAACCATGGCACAGCTCATTTAGATTGGTTGCTGTAATCTTTGGCATCTTGAAATTTCATAACTGATATCGAAGATATTGTTAAATGAATGTATATGAAATTGTTCAGGCCTTTTTATATTTACATCAAGTGAGAGACGTCTTGGACAATGTCTGAGGTGTAAGTGAGAGCGAGCACCTTAGTTTCTTTGAAAACCAATTTTGAGCATAAAATGATTACAAAAAAGCAGAGAAGAATTGTATTTTGACAAAAATTTAACAATAATTATTTGGGGCTGTATTTTTGAGACATGAGGTTCCTCTATAGGTAGATATTATTTGTAGAATATGTGATTTAGTATCAGTAATTTTATGATAAATATACATATATACACTCCCACGTGTCCATTTTAGATGTAACTCTATTACAATAAACGTATAAAGTTGGTCGTTTTATTTTTACCTCTATCATTAAGGTTATTCTAAGAAATTACAAACCCCTTCCTGCTTTCAAATAAAGTCTATGAAACCTTTTGTTATGGCAACATCCATCCCTGCTTTGTGTTGCTGGGATTGGTAATCCTTTATATTAGAGAATCCCGTTGCAATTATCAAATACCATATACCAAGAATGCAGCTCCTGTACTGACATTGTCGTATCTGCTATCATTATTATTGAAAATGATTCGTATCATTTCAGAAAAGACAAATTAAAATTCATATTAAACATTTGAATAGCGTATCTTTGCATACTATAGTCAATTAGATTAACTTACCTCAGACGTTGTAGCAGGTGTTAGCAGAGCACATTACTATAACATACATCAGCAGAGCGCATTATCATAACATACGTTAGTAGGTAGGGCACATTACCATAACATACATTCGGATAGCGCATTATCTCACATTAGCAGAGCAAGTTAGTGTACATTACCAGAGCACAATAGAACACATTAGCATAACACCGTAGCAAACTTTAGCCTTGCATATTGCTACACGTTGTCATACTGTCAATGTGTCCAATAGGTATATATATTTAGTTTGTTGTTCGCCTGTTATGTCACTGATCTTGGTGACGTCACAGGCATTGACCAATCACCAAAATGCGATCAAACCAATCCGTCATGGGAATGACTGGATTGTTTACGTATCTCAATCTACGCGACGCAATAAGAAAGTTGAACTGAAACACAGAAATCCTCGTGGGTCAACCTTATAAAGTTCAACAATATATATGTACACATGCGAAAATGAAGCTGACACAAAATTAAAATTAAAAGTGAATTCTTACAACGCTTGTAACAGCATATTGTAAATGAACATCTTCATTATTAATTAGGTCATAATTGGTTTGGATATGAAATAGTTATACATGCCAAGTTTCATGAAAAAATCTGGCATGACAATAAAAAGTCTTCCAGTGCATACAGTAGGATATTGTCAATAAATAGATACATATTTACTTATGTCAAGATCGATTCAGATTTGAAGATCTTAGTGGGAAAAAGTGCAAAAAATTATCATTTAGCACATTTATTAAAATTAAAGTAGAAACAGAAATACCTGGTCATGCTCGCACGAGGGCATTGTGAGTGAATAGTTTCGTTTTTAATTTGGTATATATCACTCAGTTTTGATTTCATAAACTTATGCGTGGAAAAAGTGCTATGAAACTTAGTTCTGTAAATTTGTTTTAAAATATCATACACGGTGTCGAGTCGATATGTCAATTGCAAAAAAATCCCCCAACAAAGAGTTTGCTCTAAATTAGGAATTGAATTGAAAACAAAATCCAGAGTAGAGCGGATGCGGATTAGAAAGGAATGAACGTCTTCGGCTCTCCGCTATGACAAACTAGAGCATCTTTTTCAAAAGCATTGAACGAACTCAACTTCTAAATCTGATCTTTGAAAGTGAAGTTTTGAACGAGTGTTGTTGTTGCCAGACGTATGTGAACTGGCGCCACGTGTGGTTGTCGATGCCTGCGCTGCCAGTACCAAACTTGCATTGTCGTCTCAGCAGAGCAGAACCTACTAACATTGGAGACAGATATGTAAAAACTAATTTTTTAAAATGTAAATTTATTTGTAAACTGAGTTATATTTTGACTGTTTACCATCGGCGTTCATAAAATTGTGATGCAATGCATATGCTCAATTTGCGTTCAGAAATTGTATGTTTAACCTAGAAAAAAAATATGTTCTCGATTGCCACTATGAAGTGACGGAATATAGGGATTTGGTAGGTTTCCATTCTAAAGGCTTTTTAATAAATATGGCAACATTTTGTGACGTTTCATCGTTGCTGACGCATCGTGAAGTGTTTTGAGAGTCATGTGAAGGCAACAGAACTTACGTAATGCATACGTTTTTTTTTATAGTTTTTCATTTCTCGATGCGTCCTTAATGTGTCGGAATATACCGCGTTTACCCTAGTGTTTTGGCAGTATTTTGACTCGCAAATGCATGACGTCACCATTTCAACCATCAACAAATGCATGGAACTAAAACAAAGCTTAATATAAAGGAAAAGCTGGAGAGGTGACATAATTACCTACGATGTCGGAATATACCACGTTTACCCTATCCATGATACTTTACTGGTCTACTTATAGGTCTCAAAAATGAACTTGAGAGAGAGTCTAAAAAACTCTCTGCTTTGTCCCAATGGCCTGCAAATTTATATAACCGCCCGGAAGACGATAAATTTCACCAACGGTTTTCGAAAATCGCCCTTGAAAAGCCTATCTTTACCCGCGTTTTTTGGAAAAATCTGCCAAATATTCCATATCGGATACTGTCTTGTCAGACTTGTCTTAACAATGGCAACTTGTCATATGTTAACATACATGACAGCAAGATGAGCCATATGCAGTGAAATATTTGCAGTTTATCCCATTATTTCATATGGTTTTGAAAATTTTGTTGACATTGGTGAAAATGTGAAAATTTTCTGCAAAAGTTGACATAATTTTCTTATTTTAGAACATATTCATTGCAAAAATTTGTCAGACACAGATAAACAACTAGGCTAGTGAATAATGAATTAAATGTAATTGGGTAAGTAAGGTAGGTATCACCGAAGGCCGAAGGGGCCCAGCCCAATTCCAATATTATTTTTATTATTTTACTGTCCAGTGTCCACGACTACGAGACCACGACGCCCGACGCCCGGCCGACGGCACATCCACTCAAATTTGTTTGATCTAAAATTGTGAAATACTCAATTGCAATCAAAATTCAAATTTGCTATTTAAACTGCATCGTCATTTCTTATACATACATTACCATTTCCGTCACCATTATCTTTCGAAGTTACGAGTAGCGAACTGTGATTTCCAAATTTCAAAAATTGAGCCGCTTCCCTGTTTACTAGCATTCCGCGTCAAATCCTAATTCTCAGACTGTGTCGTAGATAAATTAACCCGGATAGTTCTGCTATCTATAATTTATGGAATAAATAAACTAACCTATCAAATCATATGCGTTCCTGACTACATATGCGTTCCTACGACTACAGCCGGTTATTGATATGACCTTATGACCTTATGATGAGTTTAGGACGTCGTAGTCCAAGGTCACGCTGATGCGCCGCCTTCGTCGTCCTCCGTCTCCGAGTCGTCGTCGGATGTAACGTTGGACGTGTTCCGCCTATTTGCCCTCCTTTGGGCCAGCTGATGCAAGATGCTGTTGCTTGTCACTTGCTGAGGCAGCTCACCAGTTGCCAAAACACGGAGAAATCTACATTGAAGTAATGGAAGCCACATTACTGTTCCCCTGGAGGCGTTGTGCCGGCGGTGGTGCTTATTCGAAATTAAGTCTTCGATCTCCAGAACACTCACTTAGATTTTCTGGCAACGCTGTGTTGTAGACAAGTGTGGCCCGACCAGAGATGGTTGGTGTACCCAGAATCTTTTGGTCTCTAATGCTGGACAAAAATTTTTTTTTCTTTTGAAAGCTCATAAGGCGACAGCAGTAATTTTCTCAAGCAAGGCGCGGAGGCTACTGAGAAGATTCCAGACTGCATTACCTCCTTAACTTGCTCCTGGGAAACCAAGCTCTCTATCCTCAGCGCTCTCCTTAGGTTCAGCGCTGGTCGAGCCATTGTAGCAGCTTAGCACGCCAGAAGTCCGTGTCAGATCGATTTTCGCGAGTCTGCTCTGAATTGCAACGATAACTTTTTAAACAGTCTGCCTTCAACCTCTATTCTATCTTCGTCGTATAGAGCTATCGAGGCACCTGCATTCTGTATCGCTCTCCAGGCTATCACCCTCCATTAGTCAGCCGCAAGCCACTTGAGATGATCTCTGGTACTTGTTGGAGCATGAGCCACAGCAACATGCCATGTAACAAGTTCACAATAAATTTCAGAAAATTAAGCTGTTATCTGATATCGAATTATCGATGCTTCAGAGACCTTAATTTTCAGCTCACCATTTTTTTTTGCAAAAATATTGACCATTAACAAGAATAACAGCACTGATATAACCAAACACTCTAAATTAATTTTCATATTTAGTATATAGTAAACTATCCAATAATATTGAGGATAGACAATTACATCAATCAGTCCAACTTTAAGTTTATTAACAGTAACAGGCTAAAAGCACAAATTTTCACACATCGATCATTATTTCGTAATGCCAAGTAAAAGAAGACCTCTACAGGGGGATTCGGGTGACGGCGACAGAGATGCCGTGTCGCCAGGTAGGAGCACCAAGAAGAGAGTGTTGGCAGGCTGTTGCTCCAGAGCTGCAGTCAAACGAGAGTCGAATTTCTTCCAAGCCTTCCTCCTGGTGCTCTTGGGTTGCAGTATGCTCGTGCACTGCACAAAGAAAAATTCATGAGCTGTCCAACAATGTTCAGTTCGTGCAAATACCATTACAGAAAGCAATTTGGATAATATTCAGGAAACTAAATAATAATTTCAATTCCATGAGAGATACAAAATCATGATGATGGTGGAAAGATAGACTAGTTGACATAATCATATTGATGTTCGTTTTTACAATATAATGGCGAATTTATTATACTTATTCTAGATATTTCGTCCTAGGATACAGAACTAGAAGATCAAGTGTCACTTTGTTAACCTTGTAGATACCGGTACCTTAATTACGACAACAACTTGGTCTATTGTAACATAACTAAATTATTTCATATCTGGAGTCACGTTGACAGATAACTGTGCTTTGTCCTCGCATTCATAAATGAATGTTAACATTGGATAAATTTAAAGGAACGTTAAAATAAAGTTCAGCATATTTTTGTCGCTACAGTGTGAGTATGGTCTAGAAATTACCTGGAAATGCATAATAGTGAGAGGACTAGAACACTCATTGCTAGCGACGGGCAGATGGCGAAAGGCCTGTGTTTCTGACGTCACGACGTCGCAATCCAAGCTTGACTCGAACTGTTGCATCTGATTGTCCCACGCGCTCCTCAAGCACTCAGTCGTTACCAGCCTTGCTTTAGGCAACTCGCAATTTTGATACATCTGGAAATGCATACAAAGGAAACAGGTTTAATTGCTTCGAAAATATTACAGTAATTTTGACTCTCGTGATGGTTAGAAATTCAGCTCTCGTAAAACTTGACAACTGTCAAGATAAGAATGTTTCCGTCCACCCAACGGCTACTCATGCTGCCTCATGTCCCTGCTATCACCTGATATAGCGTGAAATATACGTGCAATTTATTTCATTTGAATAAGTTTTATCGTAGCGCAGACAATGTGAACTCTTCTATTAAAATCAAAGTCTCTTTTGAACAGACCAACTCATCCAATTCATTTGACAAGTCAACAATTTGCAATTCAATGCAGTCAATTATAAATAATGTAGCCAAAAGTTCAGCTTCGAGCGATGCATACCTCAAAGAAGTTCTGGAAGAACATTTTGTCTTGAGATGTTTCCAAAGCGGCAGCAGGAGGCACGTAGCCACCTTTTATCTTCTCACCGTAAGTAAATCCTTCAAAGCAAATGTATCCATACAAATATATTAGTTTTAGACAGCAGAATTTGCTGATTTATACATCCAAAAGATTTATAAATCAAATGCCGCAAAAAAATGTATGAAAATAAATGGCTATAGAGTAGAAAATCTTTCTGTCTCACCGACAAATTTCTCGATACAAAATCAAGTGTTAGACATGACAATAACATTTGGATGGAAATTTATCGTTACTATTAAAAATTTAAGAAACATTTTATCGAGACTTTAGAAGCTAATGCTGTCAATGGAACTAGCACAAAGAATTACAGATGATAAAATTAAAAGACGAACGAGGTAATCTTGTCATCAAAATAAACATATCCTTAGCCAAAGCCTCCATATCTTATACTTTGAGCAGTATATATTTTTTTATTTCACAGATGTCAATAATAAGGAAGAGGCTTATTCATTTGCAGAATTGAAATGCTGACACACCTTTTTGCAACTTTAACTGTAGGAGCTCAAGAGATGCAATAGCGTCTTCAGTGGGGTCATGATATGAATGTTTGCACATCTGCACTTCCTTCTTCAGGAAGAGTCGGGTCAGATGCCGCAAACTGTGGGTCAGCAAAGAATCCGGTCCCAAGTCGAAGAGGAAGCAAGTGTCTATCACGTACGGGTGGTACAGCTGCAAAAAATATCAGATATCTTCTTTGTTATCATAAGAATTAAACACCATACACAAGCGCGCTAAGAAAGCGGAAATAATTAGTAAAGCTGCTTAGAGTTAGCTTTAAGGATTTGAGGTTTTATCTGAATTTACCAGTGGTTCAGATACATGAGGAAACTTCTCAGGGTGCACGACCACTTAACACTTTGTAATCCTTACTGTAATTATTGAAGTTTCTTCAAAAGAGCAAGCTTCACAGTACTGCAGAAGTACCTTCAATACTTCGAGATCGTTGTGGAGGCTATGCCCTGTAATGATGGCATCAGGAGGAAGACGTTCACGTAGAACAGACTGCACCTGCTCCAGACTCTGGCCACAGTCGTCGCTGCCCTCGCCTCTTGATAGAATGGGTGTCCGGTATACGAGCTCTGCACTCTCGTTCACCACCGCGATCAGCGTGGGCTTCTTATGCCTGTACTCACAATCTATGCTGAATATAGGAGATGTTGCTGTCACCTGCACACAACATAAGCATCATAACTGAAAAATTCGCACGTAACACAAACAATAACCAACAAATTATTTTAAAATTTTCATATGGACATACATTATAAACGTATATATTAGTTTCTAAAGGTTAGATCTACATAAAGACAAAGAAATAGCTTCCTCTAAAAACTTTCAGATGACCGATGATTAACAATTGAGGTTCATTCAGGTTAGCATCATGTTGTACGCACGACAATGTTACTCACTGGAGCATACATGGGCTTCGTGGCAATGAAGTTACTGAAATCACGATGCGGTGGAGGCGGCATGCATAGGTGGTAATATTCATTGAATAAGGACTGAGGTACAGGGTATTGTCGGGAAATCATTCTCTCCAGATGTAGAAGTAGCAGACGTCGATCAAACTTGTCAGGTGGCAATAAATCGGCTTTTGTACCTCGATCCCAACACCTGTCAGCTGGTAAACGTTTTGAACCAAATTTGTCATCTAAGCTTTTATAATAGTTGAGTTTCACATTCTCATCAGCTAAGTAAGCCTCCTCTAAAAGGTCATAAGATTTTTCATCAATGGGTTGAGTTTCAGGCTTAGTACTTGGCTGAACTCCAGATAAGTTGTTGTAGAGCGTTGATGACGGGAAGGCTTGGGTTATGGAGACAGGCACTTGAGAGGAACTGCCTGCAAAGGCACGCAAATACACATCGTGAATAACTAGAAAAATATAAAGTGATCAAACTAATTTTCAAAACAAACTTTTTCCACACATTTACACACATAAATATTCCTAACCTCCAATTATTTTCTCATTTATCGATACAATTACATATGTTCTTGACCATAGCAACACTGTTTAACAGAAGAGATAAAAAATTCCAGAAGCAGGCTGACCATGACGGAGTTGTGTGACATATGATTCTGGGCATCGCAGTGTGAAGAGATCTTGCAAGAGAGAGCGACCATAGATAGCTGGGTGCAGAGTCACAACTGCTGAAGACATCAGGGCATGGAGTTTAGGAAGAGCAGAAGTAATTCTGTCTTCTAGGGGCTGGACACACTTGACACCACAATTAGCAACACACTTGCACCTTGAGGATCTCTTCTGCTTTTTGCAAGGTGGAAGCGAGTCTTCTGAAGCATCAGGGTAACAGTCCAGGTGACAAAGATGATGGCTGCCAATACCATCAGCAATCAGCAACAATGTGCTTGTCACAGAGCCTCTAAGCTTCAATTTGAACCATTGTCTGGAACGAAATTGAGACATCTCTGTACAACTAAGGATATTAAAACCAAAAGTTATAGAAACATAATAAATGGTGAGAATGGTAATTTGCAAGATTCTCACAAATCAGAATTGAAACTATGCTTCAAGACTTAATATATGTTTTAGTCATAATCCGTTATAAATTTGATATGCAATGTTCTTTCATAAATATTGTCTAAAAATTGATGTTTCATGTATAAAAAATCAAGGCCTACCTTAGTGGAGGTCTTCTTACTTGTCGTCAATGTCAATATCTTGGCCCAGAACCACATGGGCCAAAAGAGGAACAACATCAGCCAGAAGTAGGGGCTTCTGCTCTTTCCCCATATTGGTGGCATTGGCATGAATGCCATTTTTTATCAGTGAAAATTTGCATTTGCTCTGGGAAGAAAATGAATAAACTTGGTGCAGAGATAGAACATTACAAATTCACAGTACCTACTAATAAAATGATACAATCTTGATTATTTCATAAAAGAAATCATAACATCTCATTTACCTACATAAGTAATATAGTAATAGCCAATTGACCAGAAATTTGTGAAAACCAGACTTACCACAGCCAAAGGAGCTCCAGGATTCAATAGTGTTTCTTCAGCTTGAGGTAAATTTTTCTCTGTTGCATTCTCTTGCTGTCTTGAACCTGATGAACATTTTACAGAATTTCCTAATATAGCAAGGAGCAAATCTTTCTGATGATCCATGCTACCACTGAACTTAGTTAATCACTTAATCGGTATTAAGTTAAATTTTTCAAGTAGCTGAAAGAAAAATATCAAGTATAAACTTGGCAGGGATACAATTTTTTATTTACTTATAAATGCATGCAACAAGATTCATTCCAATTCATAGAAGACATAAAGAGGAAGAGTCTACATAGTTAAAACAGTGCAACAAACAGTGGTCATGCACTGTGGTGATGGATGATCTGGAAACAAATGATCATTCCCTTTAGCACTGCAGGGGGCTAAATAAATTTGAACACTAAACTTATATGTTGATATCTTTTTAATATGATCATTTTTTATATCCCAATATTAGTGCACATGTAAGATGAGGGGGCAAAGAATAATATGCGGCCAGCAGTCAGCTGAGGCCAATTGGTTCTAGCCGACAGCTGGCCATTATTCTGTCACCTGAAAGCCGCCAGTTGCCGCAAAAAAAGGGGCTGGCTAGGACATCATTTTATAAAGACTACAAGCTTGAGGGTAGAAACAGGCTGAGCTTAAAACCTATCAAGGATTTCACACAGTGGTAATAAATACCGTGCTCTCAAACATTGTCACACTTTGGCTACCAAGCCTTAACCCACTTCCACTGCAGACACACCACATGACTGGGTTAGAACCTCTTATGGGGCCCAGCAAGTTATCTTCAGAGCATCAATCAGCTAGAGAATCAGTGACTTTCATGTAGTTTTATGTCCTTTAAATCTAGCAGACTCTACCCTCTATACATACCGACTAGTAGTGACTGAGTGACTGACTGCACTGTTCCCATTTTATTCAGACCAATAAACCAATACTAAACATAAACTAAACGATAACCAAACAAACCTCAAACGACTTGAAATGAGACTTATGTTATGAGAAAAGCAAATACTGTTTGAAATAAACATTTATACAATTCAAACATTTTATTTCCATTCACTGCATTTAATTATTTTATATATAGTTTTATAACAGTAATTGTTTTGTTTCTAGTTATAAATTCATATATTTAAAGATTGAAATTAAATATTTCATTTAGAATACTCGTATTATGGTGGAAAATCTTTTTAACTGCCTAAAAGGTCAATACAATTTCAACCTCTCAATATACAGGGTGGGGCAGAACCGATTGAGCAGTTTTGATGCAAAATAAAAGAGTAATGGAGGTACATAAAGAAGAAAGTTTATTTTCCTAGAGGTTAGCATAGCATACCATTTAAAATACCGTACTTATGTTTTGAAAACAATATCAGGAAGATGGGGGCCATTAGCTGCAACACACTGTTGGAGTCGTTCTCAGAGGAGGGAGTAACCATGACAGTGAATTCCGATCGCTATGCTGCAATGTTGCAAAATTTCTTGCAGCCCGGGATGGAAAACATTGTTGAAAATGAAGCATTGGGAGATGTGTGGTTCCAGCAAGATGGGGCTACAGCTCACACAGCCCAAATGTCACTCAATGTTTTGAAACGCATATTTCCCGCATGTCTGGTGTCTCTGAGGGGTGATTTACAGTGGCCTGCAAGGTCACTTGATTTGAGCATTTGCAATTTCTTTCTTTGGGAACATCTAAAAGAGAGGGTGTTCGGAAGTCACCCTCACACCCTACCACAGCTAAGGGAATGGATTATTGCAGCAGAGGTTATGGCCATACCTTGCCATATGTGTGAACATGCTGTAGGAAACTTCGGAGAATGACTCCAACAGTGTGATGCAACTAACAGACACCATCTTCCTGATATTGTTTTCAAAGCATTAGTATTTTAAATGGTACCAGTATGTTATGCAAATCTCGAGGAAGATAAACTTTCTTCTTTATGTACCTCCATTACTCTTTTATTTCACCTCAAAACTACTCAATCGGTTCTGCCCCACCCTGTATAAGCTAGCTAACACATTTAAATTGTACATTTTAATTTAATCAATATATAACAAATAGTCAAATAGTTAAAGACTACTTATAGCCTTATAAGAATTAGCTAAGCTACTAGCTATGTACAATGTATTGCAACACCTGATGCCTCTGTACCAAAAATATTCAATTTATTGGAACCTAATACACACTAGAGGCAACTAGTTTATATACCAATTTGCTATTCATAGTACATTTATACTAAACCATGAATAACAATACTTCAGAATAAATTCAAGACTGCCACTCAATATATTTAAATATATAAAAAAACTTGAAAAAATAAAAAATTGTGATATTTTTATAAAAAATCAAATGATTTACCATCAACCAGGGCTACTCGGGACAGTCCTCCGACATGGCGTACAACTGTTTTAGTAGCAAAACTAATAGGAATATTGCAAAACTAAATATAGTGGTGTAAACGTCAACATTTTTCCTATCTAAGTAGTATAAAGGAAGTTAAAAAATACCACATTTACTAGCTTTGAAAAGTTCCTGAAAAAAAGGGTAAAAAACAATATTTTGAAAAGTTACTTCTGCTAAGGTCTGTAGTAAAAGTATTTGCTGTATTCATAAATTTTGCTTCGAAAAAAGTGGCAGACAAGTGTTAGCATGAAAACTTTATTTACGGAATTTACATACCTCAATCCCAAAAAAAATGCCTGCCATTTCCGCACAGCAGGGCAGACTCAATTTCACTATGTCAATTCACGGCAGGGCTACTCAGGACACCCTCCCAGCCTCCCAGGGCTATTCGGGACCCCCCCCCCTGGGGCTATTCGGGACACCCCCAAAAACGCATTTACAGTAGAACCTCAGTTAGCAAAGGCTCCAGTTAACAAAAAAATTGATTAAAAACAAAAAATATTGATTACATTTACCTCGCCCAGTGAAAAAAATTTCACTTATCAAAAAATTAGTGCATCATCAGTCATCACAAAATTGTGCATAGAATGTCATTGTAAAATACCATTATACAAGGTTATAGACTCCTGTGCCTCGGTTTTGCGCTTATTCTTTTTCTTCTCTGTTCACTGTATATACCTGGCTCTTCTTGTTGTGTTGTTCAATAAATTGTTAAATAAACACAAGGAAAAGTATAATAAAAAAGTGGTTTGGGATGGTTGTAGGGGAGGTGGAGACCATCACCAATTCCTTGTTTTCCTGACACCCTCGCAACAAACACCCTCAGGCTCAAAACGTGGCTGGTAGCACAATAAATAGAGTCCTACAACATTGGCGCCTGAACAGGGACCTCTGTCACTTCTGCTTATCCTTCAACTGTTTCACTGCTCCCTTACTTCTTCCAAATCACAACCAGTATGCAGGCCGAGGCACGTGGGGCTGGCTCAGGGGGAGCTTGGTCCTCCTTGGGTACAGAGTCAGATAAAAATGATGCAGGTTTTGCATTTAAGTCATCCAGTATCAGAAACTGCATTATTAACCCAAACATGGGTGGTGAGTCCCAACTGGGTCAACATCATCAGGAAGTTGAGGCTGGAGAAAACCCAGTCAGAGCTAGCCCAGCAATCAAGGCCAAGCATTGCCCCTACCTAAGGGAGGGATGTGATGAACTTTGTGACTCTGGCAGTGATAATACTGTCCACCTGTTTAACCTTCAATCGCTCTTNCACGTAGTGAAGTGTTTTGAGAGTCATGTGAAGGCAACAGAACTTACGTAACGCATACGGTTTTTTTTATAGTTTTTCATTTCTCGATGCGTCCTTAAAGTGTCGGAATATACCGCGTTTACCCTAAACACAAGGAAAAGTATAATAAAAAGGTGGTTTGGGATGGTTGTAGGGGAGGTGGAGACCATCACCAATTCCATGTTTTCTTGACACCCTCGCAACAAACACCCTCAGGCTCAAAACGTGGCTAGTAGCACGATAAATAGAGTCCTACAACATCATGTATAGAATTGTGCAACTGCACCAGGCATCATAGAATGAAAAGTAATTGACCTAAAGTCCTAAAGTAACCTAAATTATGATTTATTTCTCCAAAACTTATTATGGTTGTCACTAAAACATTCCTTTCTGTTTCAGGTATGTTTTTTATAATCTTTTTTTATAGTAAATTCCCTTAGGCCTTTACCCAATTAAAATGGTGTGAAATTACAAGCTGTCCTGTAAGCTTGCAGTGGACAAGGTAGTTGAAAATTGAAATGTTCATTGTTCAATGGCCTGTTCATGGATATGGTAAATTGGTAATATCGCATCAATAATACGGTAATTAATGTATATGGTAATATCATATCAATAAAGGAAAAAGAAGTAAAAATCACAGAAAATGTCATTTATTCTACCACAACATCATGTCATCATCTACAATGAATGAATGAAAGAGGAGGACTTCAGACTTTCAGAGTACTCAGTGTCAGTACTCACTCAGCCTCCGCCCGCCGCCGGTATGGAAAATTGGGCAAAAACCACCCGTGGCCGAGCAAAAACACCCGTGCACGTGGTACAATTTCACCCGTGCACGTGAGACAATCTCACCCGTATTTTTAGCCTTTCCACCCGGCACCCACACCCGTAGGGCCGTAGCGCACGCGCGTTACGAGGATTTCACCCGTAATGACCATAAGCGAAGTATGTCACCAGAAATAACTAATTAAACGCAAGCCAGCTTAGCCAGGCATAACCAGAACTGAAAAACAGTTATATATTACGGCTATTGTAATAATTGTTTCAAATACCTGGTGGTGGTGGTGGTGGTCGCGGGTTGTAGGTGAAGAAGAAATCGCACGTTGACCGCTTGTGACACCTGGACTCAGCAATAGTTATTTAGTTGAAGTCTTCATCATGTTTCTCTCAATTTCATTTCCTTCTTTGCTGGCATGAGCTCTCTTTGTTATCAACAATTCTCTTGTTTAGGGCAAATCACAGTTTAATCCAGTGCATTTCACCAGCTACATG